TTTTCTAGGAGCTGCCACATCTCTGCATGGCACCATCACGATGGCACCAGCCAGTCCAGACAGAGCCTGTCAGGTTTGCCTACATGAGGAAAGGACAAAGAAACAGAGAAAGTCACCACAGAAAGAAGCAGACAGAGAGAAAACACACATTTCCCATGCCTGTCTTCTTCATCTTCAGTTTGGAGGGGGTTGTTTGTTTTAATCTTCTTGCAGAAATAAGGTTTTGGTCAGGTATTCTGCTGATATTTGGTTAATATTCTGCTGACTCTCCTCTGCCAAAAACTCACACTCCCATTTTCTCACTTTTCCTCCCTTCTCAGTACTCTGGAGAGAAGCAAACACAAGCAACCCGAGCCAATCTCACAGTTGAAAGCCCTCTAAGCAAAGCCTATGGACAAATGATGAAATAAAATGCTCCTGTTATTCCACATGAGTTCTAACTCACTGAACCATATTTTAATTGGCTTCAGACTACTATTAAATAAATTAAATCCTTACACCAGTAACTCAAGTGTTTGCAACTGTCTCAGTTTCCTTGCTAACATTTAGCTAAGGAAGGAGGTAACAATTCAAGCAAGATACATATTAACTCAAGAAACCCAGCTATCCCGAGAGCTTGCAACTGTCCAACGAACAAGGTCAGCTTAGTAAGCAACTCCATGCAAGGTTAAGAAGGGATTTAAACCAGAGTCCTTTTGGACAGAATTTTTTGGGGAAGCAAAAAATCCCAGTGTGCTGGTTTGGGGAGGAAGAGGGTTAATTTGTTCCATAGCAGCTTGCACAGGACTACGTTTTGGATGTGTGCCAAGAACAATGCTGGTGACACAGAGATGTTTTCATTCCTGCAGAGCACAGAGCCAAGGGATTTTTTGATCCTCACCCCATCCTACCAGCTGGGAGCCTGGCAGTGCACAAGGACCTGGGAGAGGACACAGCCAGGAGAGCTGGATGATCATCCTTCACATCAGAACAGACAACACACCTCCCTGCCTCTGCACCACCGAGCCCTAAAATGCCCTGTGCCAGAGAGGCTGTGCAACTGGGATTTCAAGTTGTTTGGGTGAGCGACAGCCTGAGCAGAGAAGAGGGGGAAATGCAAAGCATCCTCAAAAAGGGTGACATTCGCCAAGTGCTCCCCTAAATCCCAGGTGGAACCACTAGTACAAGAGGCAGCAAAATTGGGATCAGATGGGTTTGTTTGCATGGTTCAACATTTACTGTAATCACTCCTGAAAAATACCTTCCCCAAGGGCTCTTATTCCAACACAGTACAGTATCAAGTACAACTTTATCACTGACCACATGGTTACTTTCCCCTTGCCTCTCACACAAGGGTGGAAAGTACATCCAAGTGCCTCACAAACACTGCTTTAAAGTTACTTATTTCCATGAATCATGAAGTAAACACCTTCTACCCAAAAGACAGTGGTCAGGACAAAAGCCTGTTAGCTTTCCATTCTTACATGGAGGGGGAAAAAAGAGAGATAAAACCAAACCACAACAACAAAAAAAAAACACCTAGTAGGTGTCAGACTGGCATCTAGGGGAAGAAAAAGAAATCTATCTAGATGTCAAAAGCTAGTATGCCACTGATACTGCATTTTCCTGGGCTTGCATGTACAACCCTCCACCACACAGAGCTGATAGGGAGCTCTTGCCTGTAAGAGATCTCCCAGTTGGTGGCCCAGAAAGAGGTACCTCAGCACAGATCAGCCCCCAGATCACTGGGAGACTGCAATGACCTGTGGACAGCACAGCTGAGCTGCTAGAGGGGACTAGCAGAAAGCACTGTTAGCTCCAGAGCACCAAACCACATCTTTAAGACCCCACACCCATGATTAAAGTGACCTTTTTCAAGCTGGCTTACGCAGTCTGTGGACACAGAGCCAGCCAGAGCTTGCCTGAAAGCCCTGGAGGTGACCAGCACTGGTGGCCAGCTGGCTCACCACCAATGCTGCCCCTGACCTGCTGAACCACCACAGCCAGGCTTCTTCCAGGGCTCTGAAGAGAGCAGCTGCCATGGGACAAGAGAAAACAGCCTCCAGGAACTAGAAATTAAAGAAGGTCAGGCAGGAAATAAGGAGCATATGGAAAGCACGAGTGGAGCAGCACCCTGCTCTGTGCTGGGGCTCCCACCTTCAACACAATCCCAACCAGCCTTGGAAAGGGACACCCAGGAGAGTCTGCTGAGGAATCCTGGCCAGACAGCTGCACACCATCACTAAGGGGCATAAAGAGAATTAACAGAGAGACAAATGACAATCAGGACAGCTGAGCCCAGAGCAGGCACACAGGAATAACAAACCCCAACCTCAGCCACATGGTAAGAGCCTCTAGCCTGACCACTGCCTCTGAGAAGCAAGACCTCTGAGCTGTGAGCTGCACCCCAACATCACAGCAGCTCACTGCTGAGCTCAGAGCACAGGCACTGCCTCCCTCCCCTCCTCATTCAGACTCAGCTGCTCTGGTGATCATCAGGGGAATCACTGTTCCTCTGTGTTCTTTTTATAATCCAGCTGTAATTAATTGCTCCAAGTTAAAGCAAGGAGCAGCAGGTTCAGACATAAACCTTCTGATTTACACAAGTCCAGCTCCCTACAGGGAACAAGTTTAGGACACTCAAGGTGTTTTTGGAAGTTCAATCAAGAGCAAACAAAGCAAGTTTGGAGGTGGGGGCAATTAACATTTAATCAGCACAGCTGGTAGAGTTAAGGACCAGCTCCAACGCAAAAACCTGTGGGCATCTATGAATTTTGCATTATTTTCTCTAGCTGGAGGTGCCTCAGTAATAGGTATTCTCTCAAAAACTCATCTCTCAGGTCTCAGCCCATATGAGCTGCAACCATTTTCTCTCCCTTCCTACACAGCAGTTCCACATCTTGAATTGCAGCTCAGCTGCCCTTGCTAACACATCTCTGGATTGAGAGGTCTTTTGGAGACCAAACAAAACACACCTGCAACGCTGAGGACAGCCATTCTAGACACTCACAAAGGTAAAAGGTAATTCTAGATGCTCACAAAGTTAAGATGTTAACTATCTGCAGATATCTGGGTTAATATGTCATAGCTCAACCAAGGCTACCTGTAAGCACTTTTCTATCAGATATGTACTTGAAATCAAGATGAGTCAGGAAAAGTCAACTCTGCACAACGACCAGGAACAAAGTTCAGAGGAGAGGGAAAGAGGTAAGCAAAGCACATCAAAGAGAAGGCTGCATCTGCCTCGACCCTTCAGCTGACAGCACACACCAACCCAGAAATCAACCCAGATTATCACAGGCAGCAATTCAGCATCAGCCTCTAACCAAGCACACACAGCTTAGTCATAGAAGCATCTCTACTGAAACATCATTTTGCTACATCTCTACCTGTGTGGCAAAAAAACTCCATTAATGTTAAGGCTGAGGACACTGGGGTACTGTGCACACACACCCCCAAACACACAAGTGGCAGGCACAGTGTTACACCAAGTGTTTAATGAGGCTTCTCAGGACTCACCTGGGGCAGAAACCAAGATCTGGCATCGGGTGAGAATAGCCAGGAGGAAATCATTATGAGAATGGACTGTGCAGAGAGAGAGAGAGAGCTCATTAGCAGCACATCAGTGCCCAGAGGCACCCCCTCAAAGCCATCCTGTAAGCTTTCCCACTGTTGTGTCCTCCCCACCTGCTCAGTCAATTTTCAATTTAAGTTTTTTTGGGGAGTTTTCTGCTGTGGACTGAGACTCTACTACTATGACAACAACACAGAGGATACTACACACAGCACAGAAGCAATGAGGTCACTTCTCAGTATTACACACACACAGTGCATTACAGCTACTTGACAAGTCTGGTGTATTCAGCCAGCCAGAGGAGCAGCAGTCCCCTCTTGCCATGCAGGCACCCCGCTGTAGTGCTTTTGGTTTTGCCACAAAACACACCAAAATGAGAACCACAAAGATGAAGTCAACTCAAATAGGTTCTAACAAAACAGAACTTAATTGCAGAGGTTTTCCGGAATATAGAGTAAATGTGCACAAGAGAAAGTGAAAACAACTTCAGAGGGTTCCAGGATCCTCTCTGGAGTCTGGGCACCAAAAAACTCCCTGCCCTTCCCTACAGGGATCACAAACATGGAAACCACAAGGAGCTCAGCAACGCCCACCCATGTCTGCAGCCACACAGAGAAGCAAGGACCGAGGACTCTCACCCTTCAGCAGCCCACCTGCAGTGCCGAAGGGCAGGAAGGACCTGCCTGCTGCAAATGCACCCTGCTGGATCCAGGGCTCCCTCCCTGCTCCAGCTGCAGCCAAAGGCAAAGTGCAGGAAGGACTGCATCTCCACAGTAGCATTAAAAATGGCTTTTTGGTTGCTCGAACAGCATGTTTTACATTTTTATCACAAGGCCAAATTGTCTGTCAGTGCCGGGGTTACACAGGGACTTCCCCATGCAGGCCAGGGCACCTCCCACCACTTTAACCCCATTGCTGCCGGAGCCTGGCCACCGCTTCTTCCCTCACAAGCACCTTCCCGGTTCGGGAAGCACCGCGGAGCTTCCCAGGCCTGGCAGGGCAGGGAAACGAACCCCAGGCGTTATTTTACCATTGTCTTGCGTGAGCAGCCTGCGCGCCTCCAGGTCGAACTCCTCCTTGCTGATCTTCTGCTTGAACCAGAGCTTCAGGTTGGCCCAGTACCTCGGGAAGAGCAGCGAAGCACAGAATCAGTGCGGCTGGAAAAGACCTCCGGGATCGCGGAGCCCGACCTCGGCTCTCTCCTCCAGCCCCTCCGGGGAGGCGCGGGCAGCGGAGCGGGAGCGCTGCTCCCACACGCGGGCTGTGCACGGGCACGGCAGGACCCGGCCCCGCTCCCCCCGCTCCCCGAGGGCACTCACTGCTTCACGTTCTCGCCCAGCGCCTCGCTCAGGCTCTTCTTGGCCGCCTCCAGCTCGCTCACGTAGGTCGCCATCGCGGCCGCCGCCGCCTCAGCGCCTGCGCGTGCCCGCGCTCACGTGCCCGCGCAGGCGCAGAGCGGGCGGCTCCGGGAGCAGCGCCGGGAATTGCAGCGCCGGGAATTGCAGCGGGAATTGCGCCGGGAACCGCAGTCATGCCGGGGCTGCTGCTGGGGGATGAGGCGCCCAACTTCGAGGCGGACACCACGCAGGGTCGCATCCGCTTCCACGACTTCCTGGGAGACTCGTGAGCGCTCGGGGATGCGGCGGGAGCGGGGTGGGGTGTCCGCGCCGCCGGGTCCCGGGGGGCCGGGGCGGAGCGGGACCGCTCAGGAAGGAACGCGCTGTTCCTTCCTCCCCACGGTGGGTCCCGTGTCACGCCGTTCCGGGGACCCGCTCCAAAATGCGGGTTTTCCTCGTGGAGCCGGGGGACCGGGCACGGCGGGATTCCCGGTGGGCAGAATCGCCCGTCCCCAGCGTCCCCGGAGCCGAGCAACCGAGGAGAGGGGAGGCAGCGCGGCAAAGCCCGGCCTGCGGGCACGGCGGGATTCCCGGCGGGCAGAATCGCCCGTCCGCGGAGCCGAGCAACCGAGGAGAGGGGAGGCAGCGCGGCAAAGCCCGGCCTGGCAGAGCGGCGCTTCCCGGGGCCGTGCTGGGGACGGGCTCGGTGTCGCGGAGGTGTGCGGTGACACGGGGCTCGGTGTCGCCGGAGCACGGAGGTGACACGGGGCTCGCGTCCTGCGGCACCGCTCCATCCCCGGCGCGGGCACGGCGCCTCCGGGACGCGCTCCCGGCAGCGCTTGGCAGGCGTGAATCAGCCCCTTCTGCCGGCGTCGTGAGCAAAGGGCGAACAGAGAACGCTCTGAGCTCCAGCCCTTCTGAACTGGCTGTTCCGGCCTGAGCACACCTTTCGTTCTGCTCGCTGCTGTTTGCTCAGTTATTGTCCGAAGAGGCTCGTAGCTCCAGTGGGAGGCGGCTGCCCCGTGAATTCCTGGTGACCCGTGGCAGTCACACGGCTCTGGCAGAGCTGCAGGGCCCTCACTTGATCCCTGCGGCTGCATTCCCAAGTCTCTCAGACAGGGCTTTCCCCGCCTGCTGTGGTGCTGGGTGAAAATCAGTGCAGTAAGATCTGTGTGATTTGAGCTGAGAAATTGTGGAAGGAGTCTCTGGTGGGGAATTCGAAGTGCTTTGCTTTAGCCCTGGGAAGTCCTGAGAGCCTTTTTGCTCCAGCTCATCCTGCTGGGCTGCGTTGCTGCCTTTCTCTGTGCACTGCTTACCTTACCTGGGTAGAGTAGGATTAGCATTTGCCTGCTCTAAAGACTCAAAATCCATTGCTGCCAAGCTGTGGGCAGCAGCGAGATGGCTGTGTCATGGCAACAGGAGCCAGAATGTGATGTTGTTAACTTCTGGCCTCCCCTGCTATTGATTAATTCTTACCTTTTAATGAAGTGCAGCTCACAGCAGCAGCTGGGCTAAGGCTTGGTCCTGTCCCATTCTCTTGAGTTGCATGATACACATTTGTGTGTGTCTCCTGGTGGAGGTGAGGTGCAGGGGTAGTGAATCAGTGAAAATGTCTGCCCATGTCTGCAATAACCTGGCTGGCAGGCTGGCCAGCCATCCCTCACACCTGGGGTCTCTGGGCTGCTCTGTACACGTGGCTCCCCCAAACTTCCTCACACATCACGGTGTCCACCTCCTGTGAACAACCAGGGGCTACTCCAGCATCTCCCACAGGGTCCTGGGGCAGAGTGGGGAGTGAGGTGCAGGGAGTTTCTCAGAGCCGGGCTTATCTCATGGAAGTTTCTAGTGATAGGGAAGGAAGAGTTGCCGGGGCAGGAATGCCTTATCAGAGGGACGAGCTGTTCCTGCACTCCACGCCGTGCAGGCTGCACAGCTTTGTGTCTGCAGCACAAACCTGACCTTCACAGCAGCTGCTTCCCTCCCGTTGCAGGTGGGGCATCCTGTTCTCCCACCCGCGGGACTTCACCCCCGTGTGCACCACGGAGCTGGGCCGGGCGGCCAAGCTGGCCTCCGAGTTCAGCAAGCGCAACGTGAAGATGATCGCGCTCTCCATCGACAGCGTCCAGGACCACCTCTCCTGGTGCAAGGTACGGGCTCTGGGGAGGCCTCGGGGCCAGCTTGTGCTGCTGCCTCACTCCAAAGGCTGCAGGAGATGCCCACGCAGGCTTGGGGGTACAAGTGGCACATCCCAAAGCGTGGCAGTGCTGAAATTCAGAGCAGGAGTGGGGAAGGTCTTCTCCATCTTTGTGGAGCACCCCACAAAGTCCAGGGCGCTCTTTGCACTTTGATCCTGATGCCTTGTGCAGGCTGGCCTAGAACAGAGACTAGACAGAGTTAAAGAATAAAGTAGGGATTTATTAAAAGGCGACAGCGGATCCACCTTGGGCAGCACAAGAGCCCAGCCAGGGCTACACCGAAGATGGGCCCAAAATGGTCACAAAATGCACAAATGGTCATGGGGATCTCTCTCTGCTCCATTTGCATATTGGAGTTAATTGTCCAATTCCAGCCTTAGCCCATGCAGTCCCATCCTTCTTGTTTTTCTCTCTTCAGCCCACGTTGTTTGTGCTCTTGGGCTGAGATTTGGATCATCTGTCCTTGGTCCCCAGCTGCAGAAGGAATTGTTTTGTCTCCCTACTCTGTGCACAGAGCTCACCATCCCCTAATATGAATTCCAGACCCACACATTAAAGCAGGACAGAATCTGAAATATATAAAAGCTAAAACCTGAAGCATCAATACAAGAGGAAAGCAATATTACTGCTGTCCCAGCACTACTGAAAGGGTTAAAACGTGTGGAGGTGATGCCAGAACCTCAGAGGAAGGCAACCTACCCACAGACCCTCAGGAAGTTCTGTAATAGGAAAGGAAAAGAGGCATCAGAAGTGAGGACAAAATTGCAGTTCATGCTTGGTCAGGGAGGAGAAAACAGAGGACAAACAGAGACATGTTAAATAAAAGACCACAAATAGGAGAACATGAGGCAGCATTAAAAAAATATGGGAATGGATAACTCGGTGAAGGAACTTGCAAGGAACTAAAGAAGACTTCAAAGGCAAACCTGTGTGTGCTACCAGGGAGAATGGTTCCAGGGCTAGAGGTGGTAGGGGTCTAAAATGAGTATTTCAGACAGAAATGGCCAGAGTGCAAAAATCCCTGGGTGAGTTACCTGCCACCCTCTTAGCTCTTAAAATTGGGAATGTTCTCACATATTTTCCAGGGGTGAGAGGTGCTTGCAGTAAGAGGCATTAAAGGGGAGAAATTTCTACACTCAGTTGGACATTAGTTCATGACTGACTGGCTTTAGAAATTAGCTAATTGCCTTATTGCTTAAATAAACCTTTGTACCTGAGTGGTGCATGGCCAATGTCCCAGCAAGCCTCAGAAGGGCCTGGGAAAAGCAATGTACAAATCCCAGTAAATGAGATTTCTGGGCTGCTCAAACTGGCTGAAACCAGCAGTCCAATTAGCAAATAACATGTCATTAGCCAGAACAGAACATTTGTGTTGTGCTTTTGTAAGGGAGACTCATCTGCTGGCTGGCCAAAGCTGAGGTGTTAGGGTGTTTGCTGACTTCTGCAAAGCCTTTGAATTTGCAAGCAGCTTTTCCATGAAGTCAGCTCTGTGAAGGGCAGGCTCTTTCTTGCAGGAAAGCAGGAATTTGTGTCAAGGGAGGGAAGTGCTGAGCTCTCTCAGGGCCTGCAGGGAGGTGTGGGGTTCAGCAGACTCAGGTGATCTGAAAGAGATGAACAGCGAGCTGACTCTGCTGATCCTGTGGAGTTATTCACACAGCAGAATCTCAGGTGAGACCAGGAGAAGTTGCAGAACAGCCTTGATGCTGGCAGAGGGGAGGCAGAGCAGGAAAGCCTTCCAGGAAAACCACGGAGAGGCAGTGACTGAAGCTGTGGTGAGCTTTCTGTAGGCTGGGAGAAGCCTTGGAGCCAGAGGTTTGGAAGTGTCAGCTCAGCACCTGTCAGACAAACAGGTGAAAATCCTCCAGAGCCAAAGATCCAACTGGTGAGGACAAATCCACAGAAGGCTGGAGTGTCCCATGCAGCCTGTGTTTCACTGGCTTGAACTCAGAAGACCCAGAACTGAGCAAAATTTTGGGCAGAACCCTGTGTGCAGCATTCCCAAACACAGCTCTGCTTCCTGTCTGGATGAAGCTGCTTTTACCTGGAGCACAGCCTGCAAGGAAACAAGTGGGCAAGAGGGGTGGCTGAACTCCTGCATGAAACAACAGAGAAACGTCTCTGCTTGCTCTGCTGCCAAATGTCAGTGGGCAGATGAGATCTGCCTGGAGAGGTGGGGCCAGAGTGCAGCCAATAATCCCTGTGTCACTTTGTGCACCAGAGCTGTCACAGCTATTCTTAGCTATCTCTAGCCACAAAACAGAGGCTTGCTCCAGGACTGGGAGCTCTAATCAGCCAGGGGTTGATCCCACCTCCCCAGGCAGGAGGTTGCTGCTTCTCCAAGAGCTGGGGGAATGCCTGAGCTCCCTGAGCAGCTCTGGCTGGCACATGCTGTGCCTGTCAGAGGTTTCAGGGCTCTCTTTGGCCAGGGATACCTGCACCTTGGTGACCCAGTGGTGAATCAATCCCTCCAGTGATGTCTGGTTTCAGCTTGGACTCTGGAAAGAAAATCAGTGACTAGGGAAGGGAGTAGTGGGTGTTTATTGCAACACAGAGTGTGGTTTGTGAGGCTGTTTCTAGAGCTCCCCAGGCCAGGAAATTACGTGCATTTTGGAACAAGTCACAGTCCATAGGATTCAGATAATACTTCTCAGAAACTCTCCTCATCCTCCAGCCCTGCTCTAAAGAGAGGTGAGGGGTGGCTCTCATTTGCTGATGTCCATCTGCAGCCTCCTGTGACTCTGTGGAGCATTCAGCTGCATTTCTTCTCAGCTGAACTCTCCAGCTCTGCTTTCCTTCCCTGCTCTGCTCTGCCAAGGCAGGTTTGCAGGACAGCAGAACCAATTCCCTGCTTCCTTCCAAGGCAGGCCTGGCCACAGCCCAGCCAAGACCAGTGGCCTCTTTCTGCAGAGCCAGAGTGGTGACACAGAAAAGCCTGGGGAGAAAACAAGCAAAGAGCAAAGCTGCAAAGGAAACTTTTGGCCACGTGTGCACCACTTGACCTGCTTGCAGCATCCTGAGCAGCTGGGGCAGGGCTACAGCCCCTTTTGTCAGCACCAGCAGCCATGGGGGGCTGAGGAGGGCTGCAGGGCCTGCCTGCTCTTGCTGCTGTTGAGCAGTGCCAAGGGGCAGCATTTCCAACCCTGGCCTCCCCGGGTTCCCTCTGAGCAGGGCCCAGCCTGCTCCCCCACGTTCAGAGCCTGGAGAAGGCAGAGAGGTTTGTACATGGAGGGCATCAGCTGAGCTGATAGTGCAGCACAGCAGTGGGAGGGAGGCTCACAGCAGGATTGCAGCCACTTTTGTTTCCTTGCAGCATGCAAAGGGTGGAAGGAACAGGCTGCCCTGTTCTGGGGCAGGAGCCTTGAATTCTGCTTGCTTTGTTGCTGGCAGCTGCCCTGCCTGTGCTTCCTTCAGCAGGCTCCTCCCAGGGCTGCTGGGGCTCCTGTGACCTGTGAGGGTGGTGCCGCAGACTCCAGGGACAACTTAAATGCTCTAGTCGAGTCCAGATCAAGTTTGGAGATGCTTAAAGTACATTTTTTTTGTGTGTATTTGTGAAGCAGGTCCAGTTTGGGCTAGTACAGCCTCATAAACCATGGTCACAAGGCAGAGCCTCCAGGGCTGTGGAGGGGCATGGTTTTCTCTTCCTCTGAACCAGGCGTGGTTCAGAAAGGAGTGAGCAGTGTCCCAGCACCTGCACTCAGGCTTCCACTGTAGTTTTTTGAGAGCCTTTAGTTAAGTAAGCTGCGAGTGACTGACTGGATGGAACTGGTCCCTTGCACGAGACCTGTGAAGTGTCAGACCTTCCTTTGCCTTTGCCTTTCTTTGCCAGCTGGTTTGCTCTGCCTTAGGAGCACAGTCCAGTTCAGCTGTGACACCTGTCAGCAGAGCTAGGAGAGAGCTGGAGCAGGGGCACAGTTCTCAGTGGAAGGTGGTTAAAGCTCTCTGTGTCATTAGCACGGGCAGGATATTCCCTGTTGCTCCATACACACTGCCTGGGCAAAGCAGCTGCTGCACGAGCTGTGAGCACAGCCAGCGAGTGTCAGACCTTCCTTTGCCAGCTGGTTTGCTCTGCCACTAGAGAAACAACTCCTCAGGAGCACAGTCCAGTTCAGCTGTGACACCTGTCAGCAGAGCTAGGAGAGAGCTGGAGCAGGGGCACAGTTCTCAGTGGAAGGTGGTTAAAGCTCTCTGTGTCATTAGCACGGGCAGGATATTCCCTGTTGCTCCATACACACTGCCTGGGCAAAGCAGCTGCTGCACGAGCTGTGAGCACAGCCAGCCTAAGAACTGACCTCAAGAACAAGGTACAGCCCAGCCTGGCACAAAGGTTTCTGGTTTGTCACCTGGTTTCTGGAAGCTTCATGGAAGGCCATGAGCCCTGGCTGTGCTGTCCCAGCCTGGAGCTCCTGGCTCTGCCTGGCCTCTGTCTCTGTGCTGTGCCACAGGAACATCCCATGGCTTTGTCCCTGCAGGACATCAATGCCTACAACGGGGAACAGCCTGCAGAGAAGCTGCCCTTCCCCATCATTGCTGACAAGAACCGGGAGCTGGCTGTCAAGCTGGGCATGCTGGACCCAGATGAGCTGGACAAGGACGGGATGCCCCTGACCGCCCGTGTGGTGAGTGCCTGTCCCCACAGCACCTGGGGCTGCCCCGCAGCACAGACACACGGCCTGCCAGCCTGCCCTGTGGCTGTGGGCAGCTCACCTGGACGGGCATGGCCATCCTCAGGAGCTGGCATGGCTGGAACCATGGATTCTGTTACGGTGACCCACCGATCCTGGTTGTGCCTGTCCCAAAATAATTTTTGTCAGTGCTTGATCTGCTGGACTTTGCCTTTCCCCTCATGTGCTTACACTATAAGGGCACAGGTAGCAAAACATTGGCACTGGACACAGGAGCTCCCAGAGCAAAAGCACATTCCCTGGGCATCAGTTGTTCTCTAGATCCCCTCCATGGCATCTCCCCTGTCCCAACACCCGTGGTCAGGCAGCTCCCAGGAAAGGAAGGAGCATCAGGGCTGAGCAGATCCAGCAGAGCAGGCAGACCAATGTGCCCAGCCCCTGACACTGTCTCCCTGTGCTCAGGTGTTCGTTTTTGGCCCGGATAAGAAGCTGAAACTGTCTATCCTGTACCCAGCCACCACCGGGAGGAACTTTGATGAGATCCTGAGAGTGGTGGACTCCCTGCAGCTCACAGCATACAAGAAGGTCGCTACCCCTGTGGACTGGAAGGTGAGGAGCAGGGCAAAGCTCACAGCCAGGCACTGGGAACAGGCACTGCAGTGGCAGCCAGCCTCCCTTGGAGGGGCACCCCCAGGCTGGGGCAAGCAGCAGCTGGAGGCAGCCCTGCCTCTGGAGGCTCCTGTTTCCTGCAGCATAAGCTCCCAGTGGGCTGGGCCAGCTCACCCACCTCCCAGGAAAGCAGATCTTCCCCCAGGGCTTGGCATCAAGAGGGAGCCAGCACCACCTGCCCAGGGGTGCCTGAACTATAGGAATGGCTGAGCAGCCATGGGCAAGCTGTGCTCTGTCCAGCATCGCAGAGAGGCTCAGCCTGCCCCCTCCTCACTCCCTGTTCCCATGGCTGTGGGATGCCATTGGCAGGGCTGGCAGATGTTGGGGCTCTCCCTTTGGACATCTCCCGTGGCTCCTGGTGTAGCTCCCACTCTGCCCTCACTGCTGGCTCCCCTGGGACGTGCACTCACAGGGAGGCAGTGCCACCCGTGTCCAGCCCTGCCAGCTGCTCACAGTCCCCATTTGTCCCCCTCTGCTCCCCAGCCCGGTGACAGCGTCATGGTCGTGCCCACCTTACCTGACGAGGAAGCCAAGAAGCTCTTCCCCAAAGGAGTCTTCACCAAGGAGCTGCCGTCGGGCAAGAAGTACCTGCGCTACACCCCGCAGCCAGAGTGAGGCGTCTGTCCGTCTGTCTGTCTGTCCTGCTGGGATGCCGGAGCCTTCCCGAGTCCAGCGCCCGCCCCTCTGACACCGCACGACCACGGCCTCGTCCATCAGTGCCCGGCAGCACTGAACCAGCCCCCCTGTCCCTCCAGCCCATCCCCTCTGAACCGTGCCCGGGTGTTTTCCTGCCTGCCAGGACACGAGCACACCCGTGGGGACTGCGGGGCTCCTGCTGTGCTGTCCTGCCGCCTGGTGACAGCCATGAGAAGGGGTGTCCTGCTGGGACAGGGAGCTCTGGGGTCCCAAGCTGCTGCGTGCCTTTCAGAGCAGCCGTCTAACCTTTGGTCCTGTGAGTAGGGGAGGAGCTGCAGAGCCACATCTCTCACCTCTTAACTGCTTTTTTGTCTCTTGCTGGAAGGTGATGGTTTCCAGGTTTTGTGGAAGAGGGAATCAAGCAAATAAACTGACCTTCAGTACTACCTGCAGTGTCCCTTGTGTGTGTGCTGCCCCCAGGGCACCCTGCAGCATTTGCTGTGTTCCCTTGGGCACGCAGCTGGGATTTGTGCCCGGGCTCTGGAGGGGGGTGGCAGCAGCACAGACTGCCCTTGTTCTTGCTGAGGAAGGCCTTTTGGAAAGACAGCTTGTCCCAGGGCACACGGTCTCAGACAAGGGGAGGAAGAGTGTGCCTCAGCCTGGCTGCCCTTGGCTGTGGGCAGAGGGTCCTTCCCTGCTCCTGGGGCATGAGCAGGCACGACAGGAGCCGTGCACACTCCTGCCTGCTCTCCCACACCTCCACCTCAGGGATTTGTCAAGACATGAGCAGTGCTTTAATATAACAGAAGGAAAGAAAGCTGCTCACTGGATGGCTCATAGGGTGGCTGCCAGCATCCCTCAGTGCCCAGCACAGCCAGCAATGCTCAAAGGGAGCAGCTGTTCAAGAAATCAGCTAACTTAGGCACAAATGTATCCCCCCCATCCAGTGGGACTGGTGGGTTTGATGTTCAAGGTGAGCAAAACACCAAATGCAATGAGATCCCCCTCCAGGCTAAACCTCAGGCAGCACCCACAACCCTCTTTGATTACCCCTCCCCCCCAAAAAAAGAGGTTTATTAATTTTTAATTGCCTTCAGGAACTATGCAGTGAATATTGGTGTATTTCCCCAAATGGCTTTTAAATGAACCTTCGTTATGAAACTCCATATTATTCCCATGTATTATTTTGACTGGAAGATAGGAACAGTTGGTCTCTGGGCTGACTTTTGTTCTCACTCTTCCACTCTGCAAGAAAGGGGAAAGGGAATCTACAATTTCCAAAGGGAAACATCTTTTTTCAGTGTAGCTTTTCAGCTTTATCAAGCTGGGCAGCTTTCCTAGTTCCCATGGCTGGGCCGCATGAACTCCTGGGCTTCTTGCTGCTCCCTCACTGTGATCCAGTTTCCCAAGGGAAAAAGGAACTTTCCAGGCTTTCCAACCAACTGCACAATTTGCTGAAGTGTGAGGACACAGCCCCACGGCAGGATTTGTGCCAACAGCCTGCTCAGAGCATCCTCTGGGGAAGGGCACTGCAGGGCCAGCACAACCCCTCTGGGACAGCACAGAAGCCACCTGCAAGTCAGGACAAAGTGCAGCAAATCCTCCACCAGACCCAAGGGCTTAGAGCTAGCAGGGACAGCCACTGGTGCCTCTGCTGAGGCAGGTAGGGGCTGATGGAAATTCCATTAATTCCTGGTGCTGCCATGGCCCCAGAGGTACAAACCAGCCAGAGACACTCAAACACAAGGTTTGGCTCCAGTACAGCTCGAGTAGTTTTCTTTTAATCCCAGAGAAGTGAAATGCAACATTTTTTGAGTTGGTAATAACATCCAGAGACACAAGTCCAAGCCCCCTACTCGGTAAAGTCATTTGTGTTTAAGGCACTCTGCAAAACCAGCTTTCCTCTCTCTGATTTTCCCCACACGGCAGCAGAATACCTGGTTTGGTCTGTTCTCCATAGTGACATTCATCCATCCTGGCTCCTCTCCAGGAGCTGGAAACAGCAAATCCAGCGGGAGAAGCAGCAGGAGGCTGGGTCAGTAAACAGGGATGGGCAGGGCAGGGAGCCCGGGGGCTCCGAGCTTCTGCAGGGAGGGGGTGAGCACGGGGTGCCCTCCCTGCAGGTTCCCCTTGCTTCCCCTCCCTCTCAAAAAGGGCACGGGAGCCTGGGGACCCACAGGCATCCCTCCCCAGAGGTGCTCCCAGCAGCACCCCAAAAGGCAGGGGGCTGGGTGTGGGGGAGACCCAGCTGCCCCCACTGTGCAGCAGAAATGAGCCCCCCCCACCCCGACTTCCAGTTGTCAATAAATACCAATAAATAACTTAAATAAATAAATAGATAAATAAATAAGTGACCCGAAGCTGGGAAGGAGGGGAAGGGGCACCCCGAGGCTCAGGGCACAGGGAGTGTGAGGGTGGGCATTTCCATGGGCTGCCCCTCCCTGAGATAACGGGGTGCTGGTTGGGAAGGGGGCACAGGGAAAGCATCCCATGGGGTGAAGCCCAGGGTCTGAGTGCTCATCCAGCCACAGGGAATGAGCCAAACTCAGACTCGTACATGGGAACTCTCCCCCACACCTTCCCCCTTCCTTTGAGCACCAACAGCCCCAGAGCTCCATCTCCACCCCGGTGTGAACACCCTCCTTTGCCAACATGCACAATGCCTGCACGTTTCTGTAAACGCTGTTTGCACGTGTTTCTTTGCAAACAATTGTTGCAAACTTTTTTTTTCCCCTTCTTTTTCAACGGGGAAATGCCCACAAAGACAACCCATGCACCAAACCAAGTGCATCAAATCCAGCTGTCAGAGGAGTGGGAGTGGAAGCCTGGCAGAAGCCTGGAGAGATGAACACAGGCACAGCCCCAACGCCTGCCTGCAGGCTGGGGCAGCCCTGGGGCGTCAGGCACATGGCTACAGCCAGGCATGCAGCCTGACCCTGGCACCAGGATGTTGCAGACATTCATGGACAGAAATTCAGCTACTGCTGTCTCAGTGTCATGGCATCAGCCACGTGCCAAGGCTCAGACTGACCAGCAAATCCCAAGAGGTGGCAATGCTGAATTGAACAGCATCCCTGCAGCAGTGTCCCTGCTCTCCCAGACACTGGAGCCACGGCAGTGCCACAGCAGCTCCCCTGGCTGACACAGCATGCAGCCATTTCCCGTGGGTTTTGGGGAGCTGGCTCACGCAGCCTCTGGACACAGCATCCTCTCCCAGCAGGAAGCCCACCTTGGAGCTGCCTGTTCACTGGGGAACCCCTTCCTCTGGCATTTTAGCTCTGACGCTGCCAGAGATGTTTCTGTCCCCCTGGGTCAAAAGTATACACCTGCCTTACTTCAAACCAAAAGGTACTTACCCCTCCTCCCCCAGTCCTTAAGGAAAATTGTATTTCAAGTTTCTAACCCCTCTCCACACACACTTTTTGAGAAACAAAACATCAGCGATGGCAAAAGCCGCCATCGGTCCCACACCAGGACAAAACCACAGTCTCACAAGAGCAGGACATCTTCCCACACCAGCAAGCTCCCTGTGGGAGCTCTGCTGCAGAAAACACAGCAAACCAAAGCTCAAAGCCCTCTCTCCCTCCAAACCTGCCCCCAGGGAGGCTGTAGCCCCTGCAGAACCCGACATAGGCACGGAAAGCAGCAGGTTCCAGCCCGGGGCGAGGCCGGGCGGGAGGAGCAGGAGCGCTGGCCCCGGCACACGGAACTGTTGCACCAAGGCGTGCAAAGGAAATGCTCCCAGAGGGAAAATAAATAAAGAACTGGGTCAGCAGCAGCAAACACTACTGAGGGCAATAAATAGCACGGGGGTTTCACAGGGATTTTTGGTCTAAGATGCCTCGGGAGCCCCTGTGCTGGCAGGGCCCGGGGTGCATGAAGTGTCACCCAGCACTCCGCCCCAGGCTGGACCTTCCCAGCAGGAATGACCTGCATCCCAGGGCAGCACAACCTCCCTGCAGCGTGAAGAAAGCAGGGCTGCGAGCTGAGGAGCTGCAGGGCTCGTGCCAGGGAGGACAGAGCAGAGAAAGCAGCAAAAGCCATAACCACCGGCCCAGGAACGATGGAGCACCCAGAGCAGCAGCACAGCCATGGTTCATGCCTCTGCTGCAGCTCCAGGGTGAGATCCTGGGAACTGCCAGTTGCATCCCACAGCACCGTGCTGCCCCACAGACCAGCCAATGCCAGCCATCCAGGCAGCAAGGAGCGAGGAGAAAGGCAAATAAGTCCCCCTGTGACCCCTCCCAAGCACGGCAGCAGCAGGAGGCAGCCCCCAGGCAGCACATCCACCTCCTCTTTCCCAGGCAAACCCAGGCCTGCTCTGAACAGCCTCCACTCACATCCCTGCCCTCCACAGAGCTTGGGGAGGTACCACAAAGCGTGCTGGCCCAGTAGCCATGGGTGGCTGGGGAAGAGGCCTCCACGTGAGCCAGCATTTGCGTGGGAAATGAGCAAGCACCCAACTTGTAGCGAGGGAGCGGTGAAGCGAAGCGAGGCCAGGGTACCTCTGGGCTGGTTTGGGTACCACACACACACAGAGCACCCACAGGGCTGGGAGATCAGCACTGCCCTCATTTCCCACCTGGCTGAGATTCCCTTCTGCTCCCGAAGAGCAGAGCCAGCAGGACTCCGAGGGGAGGCTGAGGAACGCAAAGACTTAGTGCACCTTGAAACAAAAGGACATCTAACCTGCCCTTAGACCTCACTCCAAGACAGAAAAGAGCTATGGCATCTCCTACACTCACAACTACTCCAAACACACCCAGACGCATGCAAAACGTGTCCGGCTCCCCGCGGGCTGCAGCAGACCCCTCCTGGGCAGTGGCACCGGCAGCACCGGGCTCTGCCCGCCCCAGCACCGCCCGGTCCCGCCCCGCTGCCGGCCCTCCCGCCCGGTGCCAGCGGGCAGGAGAGGCTGGATCACGGATCTGAACTGCATAGGTACGGGACAAGGGACCACAGAGCCCCCGCTGCCAGCAGGAACAGCCTCTGCCTCTCCCTGCAGGGTGGGGAGCAGCATCTGCCCGGGCACCGTTCAGCCACACTCGTGCTCCTCGCGCTGCCCCGCAGGGAAAGACGAGTCCTTTGTGTCAGACAGCCTCTGTGCCAGCTGCAAGTACTCCATTCCGCTTCCTGGGAAATCCTCCAGCTCAGCAAACCCTCTTCGGTGCCCTTGTGCCAGCCAGGCTCTATTTCTGACCGAGGAGGAGCCACGTTTGCAAGCACAACAACAAAGGCAGGAGAACCCGAGAGGTCTGCTCTGGCTCGGCAGTGCCGTTCGTCTGCAGCGGGCTGGGGGCACCCAGGTCCTCAGCTGCACGCCCTACTTGGGAGGTATCACCACGATGGGCTGCCCTCGCTTGGGTCTCCACATGAGCACCTGGGCGTCGTTGGCGTTGGGCTTCACTAGTGCGTTGGGTGGGATGGGCTCCATCCTGCTGAGGATCCGCGGCTGCTCCTGCTGAGTCCTGCCCACCAGCCGGGCCCTCTGCCCCAGCAGCTGCATGGGGTCCACCTCAATGTCCACTCGCATCCTCCACTTTATAGTCTGCAAGATGATCTTCTCCTTGGTGGTGGTGTTCATGGCCACGAGCCACGTGGTAAAGCTCTGGTCCCTCTTAATCCTGGTCAGCAGCGGCACGTTGCTGTTGCTGACGGGCACAGCCCACGTCACGCTGGGGTAGAAATTGTCGTTCATGCTCACCGAGAACCTGGAGATCTTGTTAGTGGGCCCCACCAGGGTCACGGTTTCTGTGGTGTTTCCATACCAGGGGTAGCTCACCCCATCCGAGTCGCTGATGGCTTTTACTCGTCCTTCTCGCAGGTCGGGCAGCTCCCAGCTCGACCTAGTGAAGAGGAAGAGGAAGATGAGCAGGGAAATGGCAGCAACGGTGCCTGGCGAGGGATGGGGAAGCCAGCAGCACAGGGACCTCTGCCTGCCTGCAGCAAACTCTCAGGGACAGCCCTGAAGAACAAATTCAGCTTCGGTTCCTCGAGCACGTCCAGATCGAGCTTTTGCTCTGCCAAGACAATGCCATTTTAATTAACCTGCAATTAAACTGACTCGGCCAAAACCCACTGCTGAGTCTCTTTGGGGTCACTCTCTCCTTCATCAGGTCCTGTGCTGAGAACAGCCTTCCCTGTCCCCCAGCTGACCAGGGCACAGCACAACCCAGCAGCAGCCCCCTCCTGCAGGAGGTCTGTGATTTCTACACCTTCAATACCGAAATCAGGAGAGAGTGCTGGAGAACAGCCTTCCCTGTCCCCCAGCTGACCAGGGCACAGCACAACCCAGCAGCAGCCCCCTCCTGCAGGAGGTCTGTGATTTCTACACCTTCAATACCGAGACACGTACAACAACTGACCCCCACAATTCTGCCTGCCCCTGGCACCATGAAATCCCTGCAATGTGGCTGGGGGGAGGGGAGTGCAGCCCAGATCTTTGCTGCTGGCCGTGCCACCAGCACCATGTGGCTACAGCGAGGCCTGTGTGGCAATAACACAGCAGAGGGGCTGGGGCCACACTTCTGCCACCCCTCCCAGTGACCACCTCCACTCCAACGTCCCCAGGTGCTCCAGTGCCCCACGCACACCAATCTGTGGCGATCCAAGGATGCAGGACAAGGAGCCCACCAGTGAGCTGCAGAACACAGCCCTCCGGACATCTCCCCTCTGGCAGCACCCCTTCCAAAGGCAGGAGACACAGACAGAGAGCCAACAGCTCTGCCCCCGGCATCCCCAAAGGGATTACAAGCCACCTGCACACTCAGCCTTGGGAAAGGCTGTTTTCCAGCTGCCACGTCTGCCCAGCACCGCAACCTTCCCCTCTTCTAACACAAGCCAAAGGGACAACTCCCCCGGCACTGCCCATGCTCCAGTCCCAGTCCCAAAGAAGAAACAATGTTTGGTGGGAGACAGCGGCCGCAAAGCCCTGGGAAGGGCGAGCTCCCGGCAGTGGGATGGTGTGGGACCAGCTGTGGGGCCCGAGGAGCAGGAACTGCGGGGTCGGGGAGCAGGGCTGGGGTGCAGGTGCTGCCCATGGGTGGCTGTGCCTGCAGAGGTGGGGCAGAGGGGCAGCACGGGGTGCTGGGGCTGGGGCTGCACTGGGTGCCAGGGTGCAGCTCCCAATGCCAGGGATGCAGCTCCCAGTGCCAGGGTGCAGCTCCCGGTGCCAGGATGCAGAACACAATGCTGGGACGCAGAACCCAATGACAGCAATGCAGCTCCCGGCGCCGGGGTGCAGTTCCCAGTGCTAGGGTGCAGCTCCCAATGCCAGCAATGCAGCTCCCAAAGCTAAGGTGCAGCTCCCCGTGCTGGGATGCAGTTCCCAATGCCGGGATGCAACTCCCAATGCCGGGATGCAGCTCCCAATGCCGGGATGCAGCTCCCGGTGCCGGGATGCAGTTCCCAATGCCGGGATGCAACTCCCAATGCCGGGATGCAGCTCCCAATGCCGGGATGCAGCTCCCGGTGCCAGCAATGCAGCTCCCGGTGCCCGCGGGCGGAGCAGGGCGGGTCGCGCCCCGGGAGCCCCGCCGTGCCCAGCCCGTGCCCAGGGCCGTGCCCCGCGCCCCGCGGTGCTCACACGCCCAGGTCGCTGTAGGTGTTGTAGAACTCCATGTGGTTGCAGGCCTGGATCCAGCCCACCACCCAGGTGTGCCGCCGGGCGATGGGCGGCATGAGGACGCGGGCGGAGGCGCGGAAGTAGGGCGTGCGGTACCGCAGCACCACCGGCGAGCTCTCCTCGATGGCCGTGGCCGCCGGCTCGATGGTGGCCGACACGTCCGACACCACGATCTGCTCGCGGCGCACCCGCGCCTTGCAGGCCACGCTCTGCAGGCACCCCATGGCCGCGGCCGAGCCGCCGTCACCGCGGGCCCGGCGGGGCGGCCGGTCCCATCGC